CACCCCCAGGCTCAGCACCCCCAGTCTCCGCACCCCCAGGCTCAGCACCCCCACTCTCTCTGCACCCAGAGGCTCAGCACCCCCAGTCTCAGTACCCCCAGACCCAGCACCACCAGGCTCAGCACGCTCAGGCTCAGCACGCTCAGTACCTCGCACAAGGCCAGAGTCAACAGCTACCTCGACAGGCTCGACCGGGTCTACCTGGGAAACACCTGAGGGAGCAGGACCCTGGGGAGGCGGGGGGTCTACCAAAGCAGCACCTGGCGTGAGGAAGAGCGGCGGAGGGGGGAGCGGGGCAGTGCGGTAAGGGAAGAGACGGTAAAAGGGGACCGACTCGTCAAACGTGACGTCCTGAGAGGGGAAGACACGGCGCGAGGTGGGGTGGTAAAACTGCCAGCCAGGCGCGTCAGGGACAAAGCCCAGGAAGACACAAGGAACGGCGCGGGAGGAGAGCTTGTCCGCGGACGTATCGCGGACAAAGGCACGAGATCCCCAGACACGGAACACAGACGCATCGCCAACCTTTCCCGTCCAACGCAGTGTCGGCCGAGGTCTCCGGAGCGGAGACGCGGGGCCAGAGGTTGAGCTGATGCGCGGCATACCGGACCGCAAACGGCCACAGAAAATGGGGGGCAGCCGCATGGACCAAGGAGGTACGAGCGACCTCCATGACCAAGCCAATGCGGTGCTCAGCAACCCCATTCTGCTGAGGAGAGGCCGGAAGCGTGAACGTCTGCTCAATGCCCTCCCCCTGAAAGAAGGCCTCCAAGAGGCCGGAGGAAAACTCACCACCTCTGTCAGAGTGCAGTCGCAGGACGGGAAGGTCCGTGCGAAAGCGCCTCTCCAGCTGGAGACGGGTAGCGCGGATCCAAGGGATCAAGACAGCAGGGACCTCTCCCTTGGTGCGCAAGGGGAAGACCGTGGTTTAACGCGTGTAGTCGTCAACTACCAGTAGGAAGTAGCGCTCTCCGCCCTGTCCACGGACGCGGGCTGGGCCCCACACGTCCAAGTGAAGGGTCTGCAGAGGAGCCTCCGTCGGGGGAAACTCAGAGGAGTGAGGGGTGGCACGCTGCCGCCCCTCGACACAGGGAAGGCAAGGAGGGGCAGGGGACGGTGGCAGGGGAGGCAGTGACCTGGGGAGACCAGAGACAAGGAAACGAGAGTGCATGCCACGAAGGAGCTGCATCGAAGGGTGCCCAATGCGGTGGTGCTAGAGGACCGTCCGGTGCGACAGGGTGCGACACGAGCAGGGGGCGGACAACTGACCTGACGCAGACGCAGACGCAGACGCCGCTATCTGAGGGGACTTATTGGTCAGTGTGTACAAGTCCGACCCCGGCTGCCGAGTGAAGGTAGCCAGGTGACGACCCGTCCGGGCACACGTGCAGTGTGTCACACGCTCGTAGGCAGGGGTGAACTGGTGAACACCCGCGTCCTGGAGCGGAGAACCCGCCACCAAGTTCGTAGAGAACGAGGAGAGGTAAAGGCCCGACAGCGTGCCGGACGGGACAGCAGGACAAGGGAGGGCAGTGGTGGAGGTCGCAAGGACCGGACCCCCGGAGGGGTCAGCCAGGGAGACAGCAACCGGTCTAGGGAGCTGCTCGAGGGCAATGCGGTCGCGAAAGAAACAGCGGGAAGCACCTGAGTCCAGTGTGAAGGTGTGCAGTGCCTCAGTAGACGTAGTACCTGAAGGCGCAGACTTACAAGCACCTGAAGCAGCAGACTCACGAGCGCCTAGAGCAGCAGCCTCACCAGCACCTGGAGCAGGAGACGCACGAGCACCTAGAGCAGCAGACTGGATACCGGGGTCAGGCGGCACACACAGGTGACAGGCTCCCTCGGCACTAGTAGACAATGCATACATTGCAGTGAGAATAGCATCATAGTCAAGAGCAAAGATATCTACCCTCTGCCTAAGCAGCTCCACCCAGTCGGGGAGCTCCGCGTCGTCGCCAAACTCTGTACGCCAAGCGTCGCTCAGACGGGCGAAGCAGCGAGACTCTGTGTGACCAGGCGTCCCGCAAGGCTGACCAGCCCGGGCACCCGTGCTAATAACGTGCGGGTAGCGAGCAGTACTCAGCGACCCTCGACTCTGACCGTACCACTCACGAAGCTGCTGGGGCGAACGAGTCTCGCGCAGTCGACGCTGCTGCTGCACCGTGCCACTACAAGAAGCTCCCGAACTACCCTCTCCAGGACGACTCCCACTACTGCCACCCCGACAACCCCAACTGGCGTACCACTCACGAAGCTGCTGGGGCGTGAGGGACACACGCGGACGGCCCTGGAGCTGCATCTGGCCACACCAGGAGCAGCAGTAGAAGTAGTAGCAGCAGGAGCAGCAGGAGCAGTAGCAGCAGCAGTAACAACAGTAGCAGCACGGGCAGGGCAGTGCTCACCAGTGGTGGGAAGGGCAGGCGCACGACGGAGGCGGCTGCGGGGCCGCTGCAGCGGCAGGGCGGGGCCGTGACCGCGGCAGGAAGCTCCGCGGCAGCTGCTGCAGGGCGGGAGCGGGCCGCGACGATCGCTGCTGCAGGGGCGGCTGCTCCAGGGGCCAGGGGCGGCTGCTGCAGGGGCGGCTACTCCAGGGGCGGCTGCTCCAGGGGCGGCTACTCCAGGGGCGACTGCTCCAGGGGCGGCTGCTCCAGGGGCGGCTGCTCCAGGGGCCGCTGCTCCAGGGGCGGCTGCTCCAGGGGCGGCTCCTGCAGTGGCGGCTGCTCCAGTGGCGGCCGCTCCAGGGGCCAGGGGCGGCTGCAGGTGCGGCTGCTCCAGGGGCCAGGCGCGGGGTAGGGCAGGGCGAAGCGGCGGGCAGGGCGACACGGCGGGCAGGGGCGACGCCGCTGGCAGGGGCGACGCGGCGGGCAGGGCGACGCGGCGGGCAGGGCGACGCGGCGGGCAGGAGGCGACGACGCGTCACCCGCTGGGCGCGGCCGCGTCAGCAGCAGGGCGCTGCCGCGTCAGCGATAAGGCGGGGCCGCGACTGCGGCCTGACGGGGCCGCGACAGCGACCTGACGGGGTCGCGCGCTGGCCTGACGGGCCTGCAGAGGCTGCTCGCGGGCGGCGAGGACCTGCAGGGGCGGCGCGTGGTCGGGCAGAGGCTGCGCGCGGGCGTCGAGGGCCTGCAGGGGCGGCGCGCGGTCGGGCAGAGGCTGCGCGCGGGCAGGGACGGCACGCGGTCGGGCGGCAAGGTCCTGCAGGGGCAGCGCGCAGACCTGACGGGCCTGCAGGGGCGGCTCACAGGCCTGACGGGCCTGTAGTTGGCGGCTCGGGGGCCTGACGGGCCTGCAGAGGCGGCTCGGGGGCCTGACGGGCCTGCAGGGGCGGCTCACAGGCCTGACGGGCCTGTAGGTGGCGGCTCGGGGGCCTGACGGGCCTGCAGAGGCGGCTCGGGGGCCTGACGGGCCTGCAGGGGCGGCTCGAGGGCCTTACTAACTTGCAGGGGCGGCGCACTGGCCTAGGGCAGCAGGAGGCAGCGCGAGGGCTGCAGGACGGCGCGCGGGCAGAACGAAGGGCGAGGCGCGCGAGGGCGCACTAGCAGAAAAAAAAAGGCGCACGAGGGCGCACGAGCAGAGAAGGGCGCACGAGGGCGCTTCTAGCGGAATAGTGGGCCCGTAGTAGTAAGCGGTCCTAGGTGGCAACTTAGGCTCGTGATACCATGTTAGAATCAACAAGAGTGATTGAACTATGAAAGAGTTGGGTACAAGTAGGAAACCCTAAACTTACTGTACCCCATAGTAACTACCCCACTACAGCCTAAACAAACTGTAGCAGATATAACATTTGACAAAGGCAACCGTTTCGAACAGGCAGCTGCTCACATTGCATCCGCACCTCATAGGGGTGGACCGCACAAGTCAGGTTCTGCAACACGTGCAGTGAAAGGATCTCATAGCCTTAATGATTTTAAGGACTTGGAAAAAAATCAGGAGAAGTGAGTTGCCTTACTTGTTACACTCTGTCATATATATCTATACCTACAAATGCACTCTTGCTAGATTGTGATCACTGTATTGTTATTGCTACTATAACACTACATGTGAACTGGCTTTGTGGCCGCTTGGTTGTGCTTGTACTGTGTTGTAATTGAGACCCACCCTGAGCTTGGTTGTGTTTCCTCTCTTAACTGGTCTTGTGACCATTCGTGACTCTTGCTGTCCATCACTTAGCCTATGGGGGTGTGTCCAAACATGTTTGTGTGTTAGGCTAGAGTGAGGATAGCTATAAAGGGCACGCGAGCGGGCGCGCAGGTGAGCGCGCTCGCAGGCACACAGGCGACGAGCAAGCTGCGGCCGGCGACGAGCAAGCTGCGGCCGGCGACGAGCAAGCTGCAGAAATGTGACATGCCGCAGCTGAAGGAGCTGGATGTGGGACTTTAACAAGGTGCAGCCGGGATGGTGAGAGGCAGGTTAATAGTGGATGAGAGGCAGGTTACCCGGTTGTGTGTGCGCGAATGCGGGTGGAGCAATGAGCAGTTGAACACGGTTTTACGGCCGTGGATTGATGTGGAGAAATAATACTGCTGGGATGCAGGGCATGTGCTGGGATGCATCATGCATGGCACGTGCGACGAAATGATGCATGTTGAAGTGAGGAGTATGCTTGTAGTGTAATTTGTACTGTATGCTTGTGCAGATGTTTACTGAAGTTTCGCCAGCTGAAACAATTGCAGGGGCACTTAAAAATGGTGGGGGAGGGTGGGGTGGGGTGCTATATCCAATCTGAAAACGGGGTGCTGCCACACCCCGGATATAACAAACACAGGTGCTTTATTTCGCCGGGTCTACTATATGGGGGATTATGGTGCACCTTGTTCAACACGCTCGTGCACAGCCCTCGACATTAGAGTTCAAAAAACTTGACTCGTAACTTGGGCCGCGCGCTTCAATATATGGCATGTCCCATTGACAATCCTGACAACTCCCACCAGCAAAACTTCATCACCATATATACCACATAGCTTCTGAAACATCGTCACAAAACATTCGATTCACCCATCACGTCACTTGTTCCGCCTCTTGCGCCCCCCCTTATCACCATGCCGCCGTCTGCTCTTGGTGTGTCTCCTCTCGCTGCTGCTGTCACTCCCACAGTTGTCACCCTCACTGCTGCTCCCATCGCTCTCACTGCTGCTCTCATGCCTTCCCCTGTGGTGCTTTCTCCGTGATGCCTTCTTCTTGTGCTTCTTCCTCCTCGCTGCATGATCTGATTCTTCACTTCCTGTACTCCCGCTGTCTCGTCTCTTCGTCCTCTTCCGTCGCTTCTTCCCCCCATCAGTCTCTCGTGACCGTTTATTGCTCCTTTTCTTCACCCCCTCCTTCCTCCTCCTCCTCCCCTCCCCTCTACCAGACAAAGAGCCTGCGCTATCCGAGTCAGACCCCGACGATGCTGATGACGACGACGATGACGTCAGCACACGCTTCTTCTTCTTGACAGCAGCGACAGCAGCGGCAGCAGCAAGTGCGCACCTTCCTTCCCCCATGGCACCACCTCTCGTGCGTCCATGTGCATCAGCCATACCACCTCCACTGTCTCCCTGATCACTCTGCCGCTCCTCCCCCACAGCTGCCTCACTCGCCCCGCTTCCACCTACCACGTTCTCAACTCCTTCTCTGGCCCGTTCCGCCCGCCCTGCTTCAACTGCACCCTCCGCACTGCCTGCCATGCCAGCGCCATAACCCCCTTGGCCCCACACACCACCCTCCTGCTCCTTTCCTGCCCTCCCCTTTCCCGCCTTACTCTCCCGCTTCGCACCCTTGCTGCCCTCCCTCTCCTCTCGCCTGCCCTCGCCCCCTGCCCCGCGTCGCACCTCCCCCGGGTCCACCTGCAAGCCCAGCTCCTCGCCCAGCCCCTCCAGGAAGTCACCTGCCTCCAGCCGGGCAAGAGCCCGCGTGGCAGCTTCTGCCGCTGCCACGTCATCAATGCCACCTGGCGCTGCGGATGTGGCACGAGCATCGTCGTCGCTGTCTTCATCATCCGAAAAGATTGCCTGGAGCGAAGGGGAGCGTGCAGGGTGGCGGGACAGGTGGAGTTGGAGTCACAAACTGGCAGCAGAGGGCAGTAAGGAGACAGGGAAACAGAAGCAGGTGACGTGAGTGTTTAACGGAACACAAATGTAAAAACTTCACGACTACCAAGAGTGACGATAAAAGAGAAAGAGAAAACGGCAAGAGCAGGGGATGGGATCATGGGAGAGCAGGCGGGGGGCACCTTGAAGAGGTCCATGGGGCGGTTCTTCACCGCCTCCGCTGCTGCCTGCCCCTCCCCCTCCCCCTCCCACACTCCCGCACTTTCCTCTCCCCCCCGTCCTGTGTCATCCTTCCCTCCCCCGATCGCTTCCCTCACGTGTCCCTCCTCGTGTCCTTCCATCCATCCATCACGGCCAGGAGGCATGGCAGGCGCAGCAGGAGGAGGCGCAGGGAGGGAGAGGAGAGGCGAGGGGGCAGCAGTGGGGGCAGCAGTGGGGGCAGCAGTGGGGGCAGCAGTGGGGGCAGCAGTGGGGGCGGGCGTGGTGGAGGGGAGGGTTTGGGGGAAGGAGGTGAGGGTGTCGAGCTGAGAGGGACGGTGGAGAGGGGGGGGAGGGGCCTGTTGTGGAGGGACCACGGAAAAGGAGAAGAGAGAGGAGAGAGAAGAAAGCCGTGTGAAAAGGTGAACAAGTGGATCGATGTGCTGTGACCGGGTTGACTGCAGAGAATCGCACGGGTGTGCGGCGCAGAGGTGCAGCGTGCAAGCAGAGTGAACCACTTGGGCGGCAGGCATGGCAGTGGGACCAGCCGGGCAGAATACACGGGGGGAGGAAGAAGGGGAGTGGACGTGTGGGAAGGGGCAGGGAGCAGCGGGGAAATCTGGTGGCAGGCAAGCAGAGGCGTGCTGGCCGACCAGTGCGCGCATCAAGGAAGGAACTGGTTGCCACCAGACGACAACACACGGCTTCCAACGTCACCTGTCTGTGGGCTGCCTCACAGGCTTAGTTGGAAGGATTCTGCAACATCAGTGTCGCAGCCTTTTTTTCCTCTCTGTTTCCCGGTCAGCCCGTAAGCACTACGTATTTTCACATGATACAAAGCATACAAACTTTCAATGAGGTTACATGTACTATGCAAACATATGAGATGCCCAACTAAGCGCACAGGGTGGCACGGCCATCTCACCTTGCCCGCGTACGGGTCGGGCAGGTTGAAGCGCTTGCACAGCAGAGGCAGCGGCCTCCACGCCTCCTCCCTCCGCCGAGCCACCACCACTGCTGCCGCCCCTGCCAGCGCAGTGCCTGCCCCGGGTGCAGCAGGCAGCGCCGCCTTCTCACTGCTCATGCCGCCCTTGCCCGCCCGATCCTCATGCCCGCTGCTGTGGAAGCGCGCCGCCATCATCGCTGCCAGCTCAGCCGCCGCCCCGTGCTGCTGGAAGGCCAGCACGGTGGGAGCAGGGGGAGCAGCAGGAGATGTGGCAGAAGTAAAGGCAGAAGCTGCAGCAGCAGGAAAAGCAGTTGAGGTGGGTGTGGGGTGCGCTGATAGACGTGGAGCAGGGGCAGGCTGGGAGGAAGGCAGGGGCTGCTCGCCCAGCAGCGCGCCCCGCGCATCAGGCCCCAGGCGCTCCCCCCCACTGCTCCCCACCGCCTTGCCCGCTGCTGCCCTGCCCTGGGCGGCCCTCTGCCTCTCCGCCAGCTCCCACACGCGCCGCCGGTAGTACGCACTGCCCTCCCCGCCCACCAGGAACGCCAGCCGCGCACTGCCCTCTCCTCCCCCTCCCTCCCTCGCGCTTGCGCCCTGCACCATGCCTTCCTGCGCCCCTTCCCCCACCCCTCCCCCTGCCCGAGACAGCAGCAGCGCCTCCACGTGCGCCCCACAGCGCGCCACCATGGCCGCCACGCCCTCCACCGCCGCCTGCACCGCCGCGTCTGTGGGGGGAGGGGCTGGCGGCGGGGCGAGTGTGGAGGGCGCTGACATGGCGGAGGGGGGTGGGGAGGAGGGGAAGACGTGGTGGGGGGTGAAGGAGGAGGGCACGTGGGGGGGCGGGTACCTGGAGGGTGGGTGGGTGGGGGGGGTGGGAGGGAGGGTGGGAGGGAGGGTGGGAGGTAGGAGAGCAGCATGTGTGTGAAAAGGCGTGGTTGGTTGACAGTGAAGCAGTGTGGGTGGAAGTGAACGCGGACTTGCAGCTAAGGAAAGAAGCAGTGCGGTGGGCAGGGAGCAAGGCTCGTGGTGGGCAGGGAGCAAGGCTCGTGGTGGGCAGGAAGGCATGTGGCAGAGGCAACAGAAGCAACAGCACACACATTGGGCTGCAGTGAGTGTGGGTGAGGCAAGGGGGGGGCAGGCAGCAGTACCATTTGCATTCCTCCAGCGCCACGCGCCCCTCACAGAAGCCCCGCAGCACAGCCGAGCTGCTCCCACGGCCCACCCCTCCCATCCACGCCATGCCCTGCTGCGCCCCTCCCTGCGCCCCCTGCTGCCCCCCCTGCTGCCCGCGCCTGCCTGCGGCCATGAAGCCCCCGCCAGCATGCACGCCTCGCCCCTCCCCCTCGTCGTCCTCGTCGCTCGCCACTTGGTGCAGCTCGCCCGCCGGTATCTCTGGATGGCGCACGGGGGGAGAGGGCGCACGGGGGGAGAGGGCGCACGGGGGGGGAGGGCGCACGGGGGGGGAGGGCGTACGGGGGGAGAGGGCAAGGGGGTGAGCGCAGTGCGCATGAAGAAAAGGGCGCAGTGAAGGAGGAAAGCAAGGAAGTTACTCACATGGTAACGTGCCACCATGGTAACGTGCCACCATGGTAACGTGCCACCATGGTAACGTGCCACCATGGTAACGAGCCACCACATGCAGTCAACCTTTTCTTTGCACAACAACACACTCTCGCTCCTCACCCACCACCACCGAACTCCACCGCACAGCATCTCACCGAAGTCGTAGATATCCTCATCCTCAGCCCCAGCCTCCTCCAGAGCCCCGATGCCAAACCCCCCCGCCACCCGCCCACTGCCCGCCGCAAACAGTGACTGCCTGCCACCACCCGCCCTGCGCCGCCCACCCAGGCCCCTCTCTCCCCCCCTCTCCCCTCCGTCCCTCGCCCCCCCTGCCGTCCTTTGCCTGTGCTCTGCTCCCACTCCCCAGAGAACAGAGAGGCGGGCGAGGCAGGGAGGGGGAAGGCGGGAAGGCGGGATGAGGGAGTTGTAGTGAGCAATGAGAGTGACACGCAACGGGGAGGAAGAAGAGCTTCAGTGGTCCTTGCACGCATGGCAGACAGTATTACCAAGGGGACATTCCACATATGGCAGTCATTGCAAGTATGCCAGTCACCACCACTCTGCACGCCTCACCACCCCTCTGCACGCCTCACCACCCCTCTGCACGCCTCACCACCCCTCTGCACGCCTGACCTCGCACATCCTCAGCGCCCTGGAAAGCATCGAAGCCCACACCCCGGGTGTCCCGCTTGGGCGCCCTCAGCTGCGCCGCCACCGCCGCCTCTGCTGCCGCTGCTGCCGCCAACGCCCCCCCGTCCTTGCCACCCCTTGCCCCCCTGCCCTTCCCCACAATCTCCTCTCGACCCCCCCATGCGTCCCCTTCCTCATCGTCCTCGTCCCCCTCTGCCTCCCCATCATCGTCTCCTCCCCCCTCCCCGCGCCCTCTTCCTCCCGCTGCCAGCGCCAGCATTGCCCGCCTGCCCTCGCGCTGCACCTTCCTGGAAGCTGCCACCTCGTCCGGCCCCAGCCCCCTGCCCTCTCTCCACCCCATCCTGCGCAGCAGCGCCTTGCCTGGCTTGGGTGGTTGGGGAAGGGGGACGGGAGGAGCGGGGAAGGTTGGTGGAGGGGGGAATGTGAAGCGTGTTGGATTAAGGAGGGGGGTTGGAGAGGGGCGGGAAGTGGGAGAGGTGGAAGGAAAGTGGGGGGGGAGGAGGTATGCAAGTGCATGGGGCACTGAGGCAATGGGTTGAGACGTGAAGAGCAGAGGACAGACGCACAGGTTGGCTGGGGGACGTGGTACAAGTGGAGTGCACAGGCAGACAGGGAAGGGATAACGTTTCCACATTGCACTCCCAGCAGTCAGCAGCCAGTCCAATGGCAACAAGCCACCCCACCCATCCAATCCAGCTGTCCCTTCCCCCTGCCTCCTCTGGCGCAGCCCCTCCCTCCCCCTGCCTCCCCCCTCCCTTCCCCCCTTGCCGCACCGATGGAGTCAGCAGCGGGCGCCAGCAGCTCTGCCACGGCCCCTCCGGGGATCACGGAGGGGCGCCGGTCCGCGGCGGGGGCGAGCTGGCGGGCGCGCTCAGCAGCGGTGAAGCCGAACGTGTCGAACGCGCTTTGGGCCGCCACGGCGCCGCGCTGCGCGTCGTGGCGCTCGTCGGCGTCCATGAGCGCCTCCACGCGCTGCGGCTGCACCTCCGCGCGCTGCGAGCGCGACGAGCGGAACGATGCTGGCTGCCACCCTGCGTTGGATGGTGAGGGGTTGGCGGGCAGATCAACGCGGGGGGTTGGGATGAAGAGAGGGGGTTCGGGGGTGGAAGGGGAGAGCAGTGGGATGAGTGATGCTGCCGTCGCCCCCTCGGGCGTTGCGTCACCTCGCCCCTCGTGCCGACGAGCGGACCACTGAGGAAGCAGCGAGACGAGCAGGACAGCGGCAGCAAGGGGGACAGCAGGCGAGGGAACAGCCGCATCGGCGCCTACTGGCGCGAGAATCCGAGAGAGAGTCCCAGCGCGCGAAAGGCGCACGCTCGCATGGCGGCAAGGGGTGGAATAACCTTCCCTGCACCCCTCCTTTTGCTTCCTCTCACCGGTTTTGGGCTCCAAGCCTATGGCAGGTGCCTCGTACCTTCCTTGGACCCCACGCTGTTGAAGTACCCCGCGGAAAAGCCCCCCGTGAACGCGCCGTGAAACCGCCGCCTGCCCTCATCGTCGCGCGCCTCCTGCTGCCACGGCGGCACCGCCTGCTTCGCGCGCCCCTCCGCCACCGCCAGGTGCAGCTTGCGGCCCCCCGCGCCCTCCTCGCGCTCCAACGCGCGCCCGAAGTACACGCAATCCTCGCCATTGTCGTCCATCGCTGCGTTCGCGATATAAAGGTATCTAGTAACAATGAAAATTTCCTCTTCCAATCTCAAGTAGAGCTAACAATCAGCTCTAGTCGACCGCCAAGGTAACGCGCTAGATTGCGAGCAAGGGGGCGGGAGCCACTGACGGGCACATGACGCGGGTGCTCTTTCCTACGCCTAGCTAATGAGGACGAGGCCTCTGTTTTCAATTTGCCAGGATCGATCGTGGGAGGGGATCGATGACTTGTAAAACAGAGTAGCTGTGACTACTGGAGGGCTGGAAAATTGGCTGGAAAGTCTTAGCAGGGCTGCTGGAATTGACTGGATGAGGTAAAACTTCACTATGTTCAAGATTAACAAGCCCACTAAAGCACAACTCTAGGCATCACAAACAAGACAGATTGAAAGCTCAAACTAGGCTGATAGACAATGTAACTTCCCTGGTAACTTGGGCACAATCTAGATTGGATGAACCTTGAGTGACTTTGAGTGCCACATGAGGTGCATGAATAAGAAAACTCTGGATATTTCTGTTATAGCTGATTCTGATGTGTAGAAACCTGTAGAAACTGCCAACACTTCGGTTTGAAGGCAGCTTTGAACTATATCGAGTCTTCGGCTGAAATCTGATTGGTGGTGGAACTTTCGAAGTACTTCCCGAAGCTCTGATTCATCGCCGACATTCCCCCTTGCTGCTGCTTGTGTGCAAAGGGCTGGGGCGGCAGAAACTCGATTCTCCAACACTCCCCCTCGCACCAGACCCGAAGCACACATACACCCATGCTGATGCTCCTTTCACATCTCCTTAGCATACACTTCATGCTGCTGCCCACGTCTCTTCCCCTCACACTCCTCATTCTCCTCAAACTGCTCCACTGCTTCATGAAGTGTCATGAGGCCTGCTCTTGCCTTGCACATGTTGAATGCATCATGTGGAAGAACCTTGGTTATGAAATCTGCTGCTTGATCGAATGAACGGCAAAAGTTGACGGCGAGAACTCCCTTCTCTAGTTGCTCACGAATGAAGTGGTACTGCACCTCGATGTGTTTTGTACGCCCATGATGAACCGGGTTCTTGGAAAGAGCTACGGCTGAAGTGTTGTCCACGTAGAACGGAGTTGGTTGAGTTTGCGGCTGCCTCAATTCCTCCAAGAGTCCACGTAACCAGATTGCCTCCCTTGCTCCTTCGGTCATTGCCATGTACTCAGCTTCGGTTGTTGAAAGTGCCACACAACTTTGCTTGCGCGATTGCCAAGAAACAGCGGCACCACACATGAGGAAGATGTAGCCGCCGGTAGACTTGCGTGTGCTCAATTCTCCCGCCCAATCTGCATCGGTAAAGCCTTGGAGGGAGCTTGCATATGGGCTGGCTTGGAAGAGAAGACCATGATTAGAAGTACCTTTGAGATACCGAAGAGCTCGCTTGGCTGCATGCATATGAATAGGTGAAGGGGCACTCATGTGTTGAGCTAGCTTAGATACCGTGAATGCTAAGTCGGGCCTTGTGCATAGGGCTGCATACATGAGACACCCAACCTGACTTTGGTACAGAGCTAGGTCTTGTGGGGATACCTTAAGTGAATTCTCACCATGATGCTCACTCTCCTCAAGACACAACTCTTTAATACCTATGATATCAAGGCTTGACTCTCTCTCTTCATAGGGCTGATGTGAAGACAAAGGGACAAATTTGGAAGGAAGTGGGGTAGGTGATGGCTTGCTATCATCAAGACCAAACCTCTCAAGGACCTTTTGGATGTACCTTTGCTGGAATAGGAAGATGGACCGTGACTTACGATCTCTCACAATGTTCATACCAAGATAATGACTCGGCTCACCAAGATCGGTCATCGTGAATGCACTCGTGAGAATACCTTTCACCTTGTTGAGAAGATCAAGAGAACCTGAGACTAGGAGGAGGTCATCGACATATACCAAGAGCCAAATGTACTCCCCCTCACTCGTGTGCATGAAGTACAGAGCGTTGTCTCGCATGGACCTTGTGAAACCATGCTTGAAAAGTACCTGCTCAAGAGCATGATACCAAACCCGTGGGGACTGTTTGAGACCATAAAGGGACTTTACCAAGCGACACACTCGACCCGTACCGTCATCATAACCTTCGGGTTGTGCCATGTATACCTCTTCTTCCAAGACACCGTAGAGAAATGCGTTCTTGACATCCATTTGATGGATATGGAGACCAAGATATGCGGCTATGGCGAGGAGGACTCGTACCGTGGTGTACTTTGCTACCACGGCAAAGGTTTCGGTGAAGTCAAGACCTGGAATTTGGGAATAACCTTTTGCCACTAACCTTGCCTTGTACCTATCGAGGCTACCATCACCTTTTACCTTGATCTTGTACACCCATTTGACACCAATTACCTTCTTCCCTGGAGGTGGCTCAACAAGACGCCATGTACCTCGCTTCATGAGACTCTCAATCTCCTCTTCCTCGGCTTTCAACCAATGCTCTCTTTCGGGACTTGCCATTGCCTCACGACGACTCAAGGGCTCTCGCGGAAGGTGTGATGCTGCCATGCATATTGCCTCTACCTTCTTGTGAATGCAATTCTCACTCTCCTCACATGTGCACCTTGATGACATGTCAACCATGAAATTGAAGGGCTTTTTTACCTTGTGGACTCGTTTACCTTTACCAAACTCCTCAGTTGGCTGAGACACATTAGTGGTAGGGTTCGGTCTCACAGTGTTTGATTGCGTTGATGCGGTCATTTGCGGCTGAGACAACGGCTGCGACATCGGCTGCGACGGCGGCACGGCTGCTTGTTCTTCTCCTGGCGTGGAAATATCTTGATTATCGGTGTTGACTTGAGGATTAGGTATGGTGACTCGTGGCGGTGAAGCTGAAACGTTTGTCGGCATAGTTGGTTGTGAAGATGCTCTTGGTGGGGATCTTGAGACTAGAAGCTTGGGAATTGATGATGACGCTGCCTTGTCGAGAGGTGGTGATGGTTGGGGCTGGTTGGTGTTGTTGCTCGGTGTTGAAGATGGTGGTAACTGATGACGACCGAATCCGGGACGTGGGGGTGAAGTTGAGAAAGGTCTTGGGTGAAGAAGTGGACTGTTGGAGCTGGTGTTGGTGGTGACTCGCTGAAGTGATCCTCGTGCTATGAGCTGGCTTGACGTTGGAACAAGTGATGAACGTGTGGTATGAGAACGAGGTGTTGCGGTGACGGTTGACTTGTTGCTAGGAAGAGTCGTAGATGGTGTTGATGTAGGTACTTGGGGTCTTGTAGCTGTTGATTGCTGCTGCATGGGATGATGATGAGCTTCTGTAGTTGCCTCTGGAGTGATGGCTGGTGATGGGTTTGATGGCGTAGTGGTGGGCTGATCCGGTTGGCATTGAAATTGTGAGGTTGGTGTTGATATAGCTGGCTGGTTTGTGACTGTTGGCTGCTGCTCCTTTGGTGGTGATGGAACGGTGACTTGCTGCGGTGGATTGTCTTCATTTGATGGCTGAACTTCATCTCCACTTGGTTGAGTAGCTGCTGGTGGCACTGGCGTGGCACGGTTGGACTCGTTGACGACGGCTTGAGGGAGATCGATGATCGGTCCGCTATGGTCAGAATCGGTGTCATCTTCTTCCTCCTCTTGTGTTGTTTCCTCAGGTGCGCTTGCTGGTTCCTGTTGGATAGAGGATAGAGAGGAGGAAGAGGAAAACTTATGCCAACCTGCAAGGGACATGTCTTCATAGAAGACAACATCCCTTGAAACCACTTCTCGCTTGGTGACAGGATCCCAAAGGACCCATCCCTTGCTCTCATTGCTCATGCCGATGAAGAGGCCCCAATGAGCTTTGCTGTCCAGCTTGAGTCTCTTTGCATCTGGAACACGGTATTGGGCCATGGAACCAAAAACACGAAGCATAGACAGATCTGGTTTAACTCCAAACCAAGCCTCATATGGCGTTACACCTTCCGGTAAGGGCCTTGTGGGTCTCCTGTTGCGAACATAAATTGCCATAGTGATTGCCTCACCCCACCAGAGCTTGTCAAGGCCTTTGAACTGAAGGAAAGTGGTAGCTATAGCCTGGATAGTGCGATGAAACCTCTCTGCCACTCCATTTTGCTGAGGACTATAGGGACAAGTGAACTGTTGTTTGATGCCCAATGCCAACAACTCCCCCTGAAACGATTTCCCCATGTCACCCCACCTGCGTGCCATGTCACCCCACCTGCGTGCCACATCACCCCACCTGCGTGCCACATCACCCCACCTGCGTGCCACATCACCCCACCTGCGTGCCACATCACCCCGCAGGCACGGGTATCCCCGGTGGAGATGTCGTCAATAATGAAGGCCACTCCGGGCGGCATGGCGTGCAGCACGCGCCTCAGGTGCTGCTCCACCGCCTGGGGGGCACGTGGGGTGTGTGGTCCGTGGTGGGGGGGGCGGAGCACGGGGAGGAGGAGAGGCGGAAACAGGACGAGATGGGACGGTGGCATACGTGGTAGGGGAGCAGGAGGTTTTGGAGGGTTTCAAACAACACTTCCAAAGCCTTGCAGCTTGCATGGCAGCTTGCATAGCTGCTTGCATGGCAGCTTGCATGGCAGCTTGCATGGCAGCTTGCATGGCAGCTTGCATGGCAGCTTGCATGGCAGCTTGCATGGCAGCTTGCATGGCAGCTTGCATGGCTACTTGCATGGCAGCTTGCATGGCAGCTTGCATGGCAGGCGGGGCAGCGGCGCACCTGTTTGCCGTGGAGGGCATCGCGGTAGATCATATCTTGGTACTCACACCGCTCCGCCATGCACGCCACTGCGCCCGCCACGTCCCGCGCGTTCACCGCCGCGTACATCCGCTGCGCCACCTGCCACGCCTCCCAGCCATGCTGCCCCTCGCCCCCACCCTTCTTCCCGTCCGCCTCTCCTTCCCCGTCCCCCTCCCCACCTCCTCCTTCCGCGCCCCCCATAGTCGCTCGCACGGCGCGCCACCTCCGCGCCCCCTGATGCACGTGCGCGCCCATCATCGTCTCCCTGCGCGCCCGCCCTGCTGCGCGCGGCGGAACCGCGAGAGCGACAGAACCCTCGCCGCTGCTGCCGGATGCGACGGTGGCGGAGGCAGTGCGGCCGATGAGGGCGTGGCAGGGGAGAGGGCGTGGCGGCAGGGGGAGTGACAATGCGGCAGAGGCCGCCATGAGTGCGCGCGCTGCTTGCTGTCCGCCGCTGCTAGTCACGTGCTGCTGCTCTGCCGAGTGCGCTGAACGTCCGCCGCCTGCGCTGCCGGCGCGCTTCACAATCGTTTCAGCGCGACGCTCTGGGTTGGCGTCACACACGACACTCGCAGGTTCCCTGTGACGCGCGACGGCAATTCCCGTTCGTCGCCTGGTTGTTGCCCTGAGAAGATGCAAGCCTCAATTGGAAGGCCGTGTTTGCTCATGATTTTGAGAATACTAATAAAGTTATGAATGAACTAAGGGCATATCTTTGGTTCCAGTCATGAGCACTATTCATTCTACTGTTTGGGGCATCCGCAATCAGCGCATGACCCAAAGTGGGGCGTCGAGGCGCGCGCGGTCCGAACTTCGGGTCATCCATCCCACTGCATGCGACCGTCAGTCAAAATGTTCCCCCGACCAATCATAATGCACTGCGACCCCATGTTCAGTACCACTCTGTAGACGACCGTCTTCAGTTGACTCACGCCCATCAATGTCAAATTTGCACCTCCCAAACTTGTAAAAAAAACCCGGTAACAATTGTGTGACACTTTTTACAGAGCCACAACACGACTCCACACAGTTTGAGCGCTACGCAAAGGATCCCCATATACAAGCAACCAGCCGCTCCACGCCAAGACGCCCACAACAAACGCGCTCCCAGCAACTGCGCGATCCAGTAATGAACCGAATGCGAGCGCCCACGGCTCTTAATGCGTTAAGCGCGTCCTCTCGGCTTTTATAGCGCGGCCATAAACCATGGTCAGCGCACAGGTTCTCATCCTGTGTGTGGCCTTACACCTATGGCATGAGCACCTCCTCACCTCCTGGCAGCGTGTAGTATCTCTAGCCGCATTGGAGTGGTTAACCAATATCCTCCCTATGGCTCAGGCAGAGGATGGGGAGCGCGGGCGACGTGAAACCGCCCGCCGCGAAAGTCAGAAGCGCAAGCGCTAGGAACGGGTGGCCTATTGGGTCGAGGAGATACGCGCCATGTTTGACGAGGAGTTTGAAGACACTTTCCGCATCACGCGGGAAGTACTCGACCTCATCGCTGACAAAATGGCTCATCCAATGTCGCGCTTTGTGGAGGTGAACGAGGTCCCACTATCTCTCTGCTGTCTTATCCCGATCAAATACTTTGCCAGTGCCATGACCTACCACGACATGAGGCTAATGTTTGGGCTGACAAGGGGCCTCATCCACCGCCTTGTGGATGCCTTCTTGGTCTGGTTTCCCCGCAAGTTCAAGCGGGACTGGGTGCAGTTCCCTCCTGAAGAAGTGCGGGAGGAGATGGCGCTGGACTTCAAGGCCATCAAAGGAGTCCCCAACGTGATTGGCGCGATTGACGGTACACATGTTGAGATTCGCGGCATGGAGGCACACCGTGGGGACTACTACAACAGGAAGTCGGTATACAGTGTGCAACTTCAGGTCACGTGTGATTCAAAGGGAGTCATTTGGGACTACACGGTTGGCAATCCGGGCTCAATGCATGATCAAGGTGTTTTCTCTACATCAGATCTGCATGGCAGGCTAGAGAGTGGGGAAATCGCCCCCTATCAGTTAGTGGGTGACGCCGCATACCCATTGAGGTCCTACATGCTCACCCCCTTGCACGCACCACGTTGTCGCCTTATGAAGAAGTGGGAGCAGACGTACAACTACGTCCAGTCCGCGACCAGGATGGTCGTTGAGCGCACGATCGGCGCACTGAAGGGGCGCTGGAGGCTCTTCTCGCGCAGGCACGAAAGCAAGCTCTGGCGCGTGTGTGCAGGAACGGCCTGCATCATCATCCTGCACAACATGTTGCAGACCGTCAGTACTCCAAGGATGAAAACGCACAACCCCCGACGCTACATATGGGCGGGGCTCCCGAACGGCTGGTGGACTAAGAGCGGCATGGATCGTTATCACTGGCCGAGCCTAGACAACCCAACACTTGCCGATCTGCGCGCGCGCCGACACCACTTTGGCAAGCACATCCATCGGGCTTACCTCAGGCGTCACCGTCTGCCGAGGTCAACGCGCTAAGGCTCGGGCTGCTCTGCCACCTCCTCCGTGAACGCCATGTTGGCGTCGGTAGTGTCGACAGGTGGCGCGAGGTCCGGCGTCGTCTGAGGCGCAGCCTGTTGTGCGTGCGGTGTGGCCATCTGCAATCGCACGCCAGCCTGAAGGGCCGCCATGTTCATGACGGCGACAAGCGTCTGAGTGGAGTCTTGAAGCTGGCGCACCACGTTCGCGTTGGTGGAGTTGATGGCATCGCTCACCAGCTTTGCTGCTGCCATAGTGGCGGTTTCGTATACCCGCCTTCGTTTGGGTGGCGGAGTGTCACCAGCGTCTGTAGGGGAGGGTGTAGGCATAGTTGGTAATAAGGCGGCTTTGTTGCTATTTGATTGCATGTATTTGTTGAGAAGTATAATGCAAGAGTGGTCAATTGCAGTGACTCACGGTAATACTTAGGCATTAGACCACGAACACTGCCTTTCCAACCCAACACTAACCTGGCGTTCTATTTGCCCGACGGCCACCGCGTTGGAGTTCCAGAGATGATGGGCCCGACGTCTCACGCTCGGTGGTGCCGGGCACCGGGGCGTATGCAGGGACGTCCACGGTGGCGGCGCCTCCTCCGTCCAGTGCGTGAGCCTTCGCCTTGGCCGAGTGCTTCTTGAGATTATACATGTACTCCCACCACGGCTTTTTCTTGATTGCTTTCCCGCCGCTCTGCCCTTCACCACGTTTCGTTTTTAGGTACTTTTTCTCCAGGCGTTTCCACGCGTTCGACATCTGCCCCTCATCGCGGTTCCACGAGGCGTCCCCTTCGACGATGTGTGCACGCAGTTTCATCCAGTACTGACTCCCTTGCTTGCCCTGCATCGCTTTCAAATCGTCCTTTGTGTTCCAGCGTGCGGCCGCGAGGGTGGCCAGCTCGGCGTCCGACCACACCCGCTTATTGCGCGGTGCAGGCGGGCGCTTCTCCTTCTTCGACGCGCGTGTGCTGCGTTCGTCGCCGCTTGCCTCTTCACCGCCGTCCTCATCCTGGCCGTCGTCGTTGCTCCCATCCTTGTAGTTGTCGGAATCGGCTTCGCTGTCTGATTCCGAGACGATCTCTTCGAGATCGTCGTCGCTGACGTCAGTGTCGGCGCCATCGTCGTAGTCACGCCGTGCGCCTCCGCTAGTGGATGCGCCGGCGGAGTCACGCTTGGCCTTTGCCATATGCTTGATTGACGGGGACGGCTTCCCCTGCTTCTTCTGCTCTTTCATCCATGCGACATACTGTGGGTCCTCCATAGGCTCATCGTCGCTAAATCTATCTTTCCCCTTGCCGCGCGTGCTCCGGCGTGGGGGCATTGCTCTACTATGGACGTGAGCTGGGGATAGGTTGCGGGAGAGTAGAGAGAGTTCTGGTGGGCTTGTATGAAGTTCTGGATGCGATCTATGCTTTGTGGAGTAACCTTAGGGCCTCGGAAACCAAAGGGGTGCGAAATTGTAGCCAAGTTTGGTGGTTGGGTGGCGTTGTGGAACCGCGCAGATCTGAATGTGACTTTTCCCGCCGGGAATTTTGACGGTGTGGTGAGTGGGTTGAGTGTCGCGTGGGCCGGTAGGAGTGTTTCGTGTGTGGTGGTTTGGCCCGGCCCGATTGGGAGCGACGGTTGACGGGAGTCGCTTTCTGGGCGGGGAAACGTGCGCGCCAGTTTACGGGTCGCTCACGCACGAAGGCCCCGAAGTGGTGTTATGTGCAGTTTGGGTCATCCGCAATTTGCGCATGCCCGGAACAGTGCTCATGACCCGAACCTGGATACGCCCTAAGTGCGCCGAATGAGTGAATATCGAGATTGTTGTGATAACAAAAGACTGACGATAATATAGGGGGGGAGACCTAACTAGGTGAGGAGCACGGGGAAAGTAGGCTTGGGAGTGTACCGATTATTGCGGGGCGACTCGTGGTGGTTTGGGCCGAAATTGTAGGCCGAGCTGGTACGAACCCCTACGAACTCTACCCGCTAAAGTGCGACTAAAAAAAGGATCCTTACGTTAGTACTATATTTTCTAGTTCAGGCTTGCATGTCCTTATATGATTATCACATTATTCAATAAAGTATTATAGCTAGAGTGAAAGTACTATTTATACTTGTGGTGTTCTGTGGACACTGGCAGAGGGGGGGCGAGGGGAAATAGGTAGCTTCCCTCTCTGCGTTTTTTTGGTACGACACTTTGGTCGGCCTGTAAAACCATGCCGAGCCAGCCATTTGCCCTCCGACGTAATGGAAGGTAAATGATGATAGAACGGTCATTTACCCCCAAGGATGCACATTCATACGATGTGTTATGATATGAAATTACATGAGAAGGCATTCCTATAGGCTACAGGAGCCGACTCTACCGAGTACGAAGTCGATGAGTCAGAAGAGTTGAAGCGACGCAGTAACCGTCTGACCAAGACCGATGCAGGCAGAAACACTTGAAATGAAAAGAGCGGGAACAGGTTTTGAACGGGTTCCCGCGCCGTACGGTTTGAACTTGCTGTAATAAGGGAATGTACCCTTTAGAGTACATGGCTAGCCTAGGTCTTTTCGTATTCCTTCGTATTCTTATATAAACCCGATGTATGCATGATTTTATCAACTCGGTGTCAGAATGTTATTCTCTAGCCTGTAGTGGGGTGCTCTATAGCGAGTACAGCCCATCTAGGTTTTGCTATATGTATCCCCCTTGAGGTCGGATCGAGGAGGATACGAATCCCCTTCCTTTCAACCCTCCTCCTCCCCCTTCCTTGTACTCCCCCATACACCCACCCCTCCCCTCCCCCCATCTCCCGTCCTCCCATGCGGGGCAGCTGTCAGCGGTGTTAGCAGACGCGGGGCTGAACATAAGGGAGGCGCATGTGTTCTCCACGTCCGACGGGCTCTCCCTCGACGTCTTCGTCGTCGACGGCTGGCCCACCGAGGTCCGCCCTCGCCACCCCCCCCCCCCTCCTCCCCCTCCCACTCCACTGCCTCTCTCTCTCCATCCTCTCACCCCCACTGCCCCTCCATCCTCTCTCCCCCACTGCCCCTCTCCATCCTCTCACCCCCACTGCCCCTCTCCATCCTCTCACCCCCACTGCACCTCTCCATCCTCTCACCCCTTTGCTGCCTCTCTCCATGCTCTCACCCGCTCTGCGTCTCTCCTGCCCATCCCTGCCATGTGTGTTGGTGTGTGTGTGTTGGTGTGTGTGTGTTGGTGTGTGCGCGCCCGTGTGTGTGTTGGTGTGTGTGTTGGTGTGTGTGTGTTGGTGTGTGTGTGTTGGTGTGTGCGCGCCCGTGTGTGTGTTGGTGTGTGTGTGTGTTGGTGTGTGTGTGTTGGTGTGTGTGTGTTGGTGTGTGTGTGTTGGTGTGTGCGCGCCCGTGTGTGTGTGTTGGTGTGTGTGTGTTGGTGTGTGTGTGTTGGTGTGTGCGCGCCCGTGTGTGTGTGTTGGTGTGTGTGTGTTGGTGTGTGTGTGTTGGTGTGTGCGCGCCCGTGTGTGTGTGTGTGTGGGGGGGGGGGTGGGTGTGCGTGCATGCGCGGCCAGCAGGACGTGGTGGATCTGCATGCAGCCTTGGTGCGAGTGCTGCAGGTCAGCCCCACCCCCCCCTGCTCCACTCCCGCTCTTGCCTCCCCCTGCACCTCACTGCACCTCACTGCACCTCGCTGCACCTCGCTGCACGGATGCCATGTGGATGCACACACTCCATGCTTCACGCGACCCTTACCAGCTGCCATCACACGATGCTCATGCTCTCTCTCTCTCCTCACCCTCACTCACCACTGCACACGCCCCTCCACCTGGCAGATGGGCGCGGGCGCAGCGCTCTCCATGCAGCCAGAGGCGTCCGGCCAGTCAATGCAGTCAATGCAGTCAGGGCCGGGCCCCGCGGGGTCGGAGTCAGCAGGCATGGGGGGGGCGGGGGCAGGGGGGCAGGGGGCGGGGTCTATGGTGTCGGGGGCGGAGTCACGGGTGCCCATCCCCACGGACGGGCGGGACGACTGGGAGATCGACAGCCAGCAGCTCAAGCTGCACCACAAGATCGCCTCCGGCTCCTTTGGTGACCTGTGCGCCGCTCCTCCACCTCCTTGCATCGACTCCGCTGTGCTTACTCAAGCTTTTCACTGCCCTGCTTCATTGCATGCTTCATGCTCACTCTTTGTGCTCGTCATTGCTTGCAACATGGTGTGGCATGGCGTGGCATGGCGTGGCATGGCACCAGGTACCGGGGCACGTACTGCGGGCAAGACGTGGCGATCAAGATCTTAAAGCCCGAGCGGCTTAACGACTCGCTGCAGCAGGAGTTCGCCCAGGAGGTGTACATCATGAGGTGAGGTGTGCATCATGAGGTGAGGTGTACATCATGAGGTGAGGTGTACATCATGAGGTGAGGTGTACATCATGAGGTGAGGTGTACATCATGAGGTGAGGTGTACATCATGAGGTGAGGTGTACATCATGAGGTGAGGTGTACATCATGAGGTGAGGTGTGCATCATGAGGTGAGGTGTACATCATGAGGTGAGGTGTACATCATGAGGTGAGGTGTACATCATGAGGTGAGGTGTACATCATGAGGTGAGGTGTGCATCATGAGGTGAGGTGTACATCATGAGGTGAGGTGTACATCATGAGGTGAGGTGTACATCATGAGGTGAGGTGTACATCATGAGGTGAGGTGTGTATCATGAGGTGAGGTGTACATCATGAGGTGAGGTGTACATCATGAGGTGAGGTGTACATCATGAGGTGAGGTGTACATCATGAGGTGAGGTGTACATCATGACGTGAGGTGTACATCATGAGGTGAGGTGTACATCATGAGGTGAGGTGTACATCATGAGGTGAGGTGTACATCATGAGGTGAGGTGTACATCATGAGGTGAGGTGTACATCATGAGGTGAGGTGTACATCATGAGGTGAGGTGTACATCATGAGGTGAGGTGTACATCATGAGGTGAGGTGTACATCATGAGGTGAGGTGTACATCATGAGGTGAGGTGTACATCATGAGGTGAGGTGTACATCATGAGGTGAGGTGTACATCATGAGGTGAGGTGTACATCATGAGGTGAGGTGTACATCATGAGGTGAGGTGTACATCATGAGGTGAGGTGTACATCATGAGGTGAGGTGTACATCATGAGGTGAGGTGTACATCATGAGGTGAGGTGTACATCATGAGGTGAGGTGTGCATCATGAGGTGAGGTGTGCATCATGAGGTGAGGTGTGCATCATGAGGTGAGGTGTACATCATGAGGTGAGGTGTACATCATGAGGTGAGGTGTACATCATGAGGTGAGGTGTACATCATGAGGTGAGGTGTACATCATGAGGTGAGGTGTACATCATGAGGTGAGGTGTACATCATGAGGTGAGGTGTACATCATGAGGTGAGGTGTACATCATGAGGTGAGGTGTACATCATGAGGTGAGGTGTACATCATGAGGTGAGGTGTACATCATGAGGTGAGGTGTACATCATGAGGTGAGGTGTACATCATGAGGTGAGGTGTACATCATGAGGTGAGGTGTACATCATGAGGTGAGGTGTACATCATGAGGTGAGGTGTACATCATGAGGTGAGGTGTACATCATGAGGTGAGGTGTACATCATGAGGTGAGGTGTACATCATGAGGTGAGGTGTACATCATGAGGTGAGGTGTACATCATGAGGTGAGGTGTACATCATGAGGTGAGGTGTACATCATGAGGTGAGGTGTACATCATGAGGTGAGGTGTACATCATGAGGTGAGGTGTACATCATGAGGTGAGGTGTACATCATGAGGTGAGGTGTACATCATGAGGTGAGGTGTACATCATGAGGTGAGGTGTACATCATGAGGTGAGGTGTACATCATGAGGTGAGGTGTACATCATGAGGTGAGGTGTGCATCATGAGGTGAGGTGTACATCATGAGGTGAGGTGTACATCATGAGGTGAGGTGTACATCATGAGGTGAGGTGTACATCATGAGGTGAGGTGTACATCATGAGGTGAGGTGTACATCATGAGGTGAGGTGTACATCATGAGGTGAGGTGTACATCATGAGGTGAGGTGTGCATCATGAGGTGAGGTGTACATCATGAGGTGAGGTGTACATCATGAGGTGAGGTGTACATCATGAGGTGAGGTGTACATCATGAGGTGAGGTGTACATCATGAGGTGAGGTGTACATCATGAGGTGAGGTGTACATCATGAGGTGAGGTGTACATCATGAGGTGAGGTGTACATCATGAGGTGAGGTGTACATCATGAGGTGAGGTGTACATCATGAGGTGAGGTGTACATCATGAGGTCATGCTGTGTGATGCCAGTGCGATGTAATTCCATGTGACCGCCTCGTCCCTGTCGTCATGTATGACTGTCTGCCTGACCCGCGTCACTACCATCACTCCCGCCACAATGTTCGCGTGTGTGCACAACCCTCGCCTCAACCCGTGGCCTCAACAGGAAGGTTCGCCATAAGAATGTGGTGCAATTCATTGGAGCCTGCACCAAGCCGCCTAATCTCTCTATAGTCACAGGTACGCACGCCAACTAGTCACAGGATCGGTGTGCCAGAATCAGATGTTTCCTTTGATTTGACGCATGAATAATCAGAGGATTCTGCTAATGTTTCATTGCATCCGTGTCACCAACCTGTGCAGTGCCATGCCATCCTACGATTCCTCTCCCTCCATTCTTGGTCTCTCTGTGTGTGTGTGTGTGTGTGTGTGTGTGTGTGTGTGTGTGTGTGTGTGTGTGTGTGTGTCTATGTTTGTGCGTGCGTGCGTGAGTGTGTGCTTGCGTGCATGCATGCTTGCGTGCGTGCATGTGACCGACAGAGTTCATGGTGGGAGGCAGTGTGTACGACTACATTCACAAGCAGCGCGGCAGCATGCGGCTGCCCATGGTGGTGCGCGTGGCCATGGACGTGGCCAAGGGGATGGACTTTCTGCACAAGAACAACATCATCCACCGCGACCTCAAGGCCGCCAACCTCCTCATGGACGAAAACGAGGTGCGCTGCTCACTCTTGCCACTGCCCCTGCTGCCTGCTCCCATCTGCCGTCCCGCCACTCATTCCCCACCTAAGGCCCATGGCCGTGCCCATGACCCATAGCCTTGCCCATTGCCTTTCCCTCCCACCCCCCACCTCCCTGGCCTGCGCACAGGTGGTGAAGGTGGCGGACTTCGGGGTGGCGCGGGTGAAGGCGGGCAGCGGCATCATGACGGCCGAGACCGGCACGTACCGCTGGATGGCGCCCGAGGTGAGACCGGCACGTACCGCTGGAGACAGGTGGGGATGCTGACGGTTTATGCAAACATAAACACAAGTAGTGCGTGTACACTCAGTACGGAAGATAGATGCGCTTAAGTAACGCATTACTTTTAGTACAGAGAATCATCTTCAGTAATGTACATACAATCTATACAAAACATAAGCTTAAGAAACGTCTCCATCGCTTAATCTTGGTGCACGGTGAATCTTTCTGAAGTGCATGTCCCATGCCCCTTGCACCGTGCACGGCGCACCATGCGTGTGGCAGGTGATAGAGCACCGCGCGTACGACCACAAGGCGGACGTCTTCAGCTTTGGCATCACGCTGTGGGAGCTACTCACCGGCAAGGTGCGCTGCGCTGCGCTGGGGTTGCTGCATGTGGACCACGTGGGTGGGGTCTGGGGGAGATGGGGCAGGTGCAATGGGGAATGGGGTGAGGTGGGCTGCTCGTCTCACCTTGCTTGCTGGCAAGGTGGGGAGGGGTGGGGGGGTGAGGGCGAGATGGGGGTCTTTGGAGGGCGAGATGGGGGTCTTTGGAAGGCAAGCGGCCTTGCAAACAAAGGTCGTCGTGCAGGCACATGTGCATGAATCAGCTCCCAAGTCTCATAATTCCCCTTCTTCCCTCACTCTCCGTGTGTGCACTTGTGCATGTGCCTGTTGTCGTGCATGTGTGCGGGCCACATGCCACAGCTGCCATATGCGGATCTCACACCTCTGCAAGCAGCTGTCAGTGTGGTGCAAAAGGTGAGCAGTGGTGTGAAGCGGTTGTGAGGGGTTGCTGTGAGAATAATTGTGAGAACCGGGTGTGGGAGTGGCTGTGACCTGGTCATAAGGTTGCACACGCTGCACCAACCCACACTCTCTCCACAGCCGCACCAACTCACACTCTGCACTGCTGCTCATGCTCTCGTCCCTGCACCCCCCTGTCCCCCCTCTCCCCCACGGCAGGGGCTGCGGCCGCCCATCCCCAAGGGAACACATCCGCGGGTGGCGGAGCTGATGGTGCGGTGCTGGCACACCAACCCCGCTGAGCGCCCCGAGTTCAGTGCCGTGCTGCGCCTGCTGGCTGACATGGCTCATGAGGTGAGAGGGAGGGGCATTGCCGAGTGTGAGCTCTATTCCTGCAAGGGCCGTTGCAGTGTGACAGGTCTGCTGAAATCCTGAATGGTCAAGCTACGTAGCCCCAGGGCCACATGTAAGATCATCTACTCTGTAGAGACACCTGAAACGTTTTCATGTCTGCGATTACACAAGTGATGGGTTTCCTTTGAAAACATGTGAATCTTGACTAGAAAGAACCAGGCGAAGATCTCCAGCAAAGCATGTGCGATGGTGACTCGACGATGCTGACTCATGCATGATGCATGTGGTGCGTGGGAAGGGAGGGGCATGGCACATGAGGAGGGGCATAGCACATGAGAAGGGGCATCGGGTCATGCTGCATGTGCTCCGTGTGAATCACATGTGCCAACTGATTCATCGTTTGCCTCATCCTCAACTATATCATTTTCCCCGGTGCTTCCCTGGCCACTGTGTGCCCTGTGCCTGTGTGGTGCCCGAGTCGCAGGTGGAGGAGGAGGGCGAGGGCGAGCAGAGGCGCAGGGAGAGGCGAGGAGGCTTCTTCGCCTCGCTCAAGCGCACAGGGGGCAAGTGAGGGGAGCAGGGGGCAAGTGAGGGGAGCAGGGGGCAAGTGAGGGGAGCAGGGGGAACAAGTGAGGGGAGCAGGGGGCAAGTGAGAGGAGCAGGGGGCAAGTGAGGGGAGCAGGGGGCAAGTGAGGGGAGCAGGGGGCAAGTGAGCGGAGCAGGGGGCAAGTGAGCGGAGCAGGGGGCAAGTGAGAGGAGCAGGGGGAAAGTGAGGGGGGGGATGGTGGAGGGGTTGTGAGCAGTGGGGTGTTTGGGCTTGGCTTGACGTGCCTTCTCGCATGCATGTGTGCATGATGTGCCGTGCGCCTGCTGCATTTTCCGCAGCAGCGCTACGAATCGGCACCACTAGGGGGAGTGCAGAGGCAGAGGCAGAGGCAAAGGGCGGGGGGCAGGGGGCAGGGGGCAGGGAGCATGGGGCATGGGTCAGGGGGGCAGGGGGCAGGGGGCAGAGGCAGTCCTGCCATCCTCCAGTGGCACTGGACAGAGACGGAGACACATTGTTTTGGGAGCACAGCAGCTCAAGGAGAATGATTGTTGGGTCAATATTGAATTATTGTCCATAACAAGACTGGAGGGGTGAAGGAAGAGGAGGGAGGGTAGGGGTTGTGGGAGGGGGAGGGTGAGCGTGAAGCATCAAGTGGTATGGTGGTGGTGGTGGTGGTGGTGGTGGTGGTGGTGGTGGTGGTGGTGGTGGTGATAGTACCTGCAAATTTTGACAGTCCATTGTGACAGGGTCCCATCTCATGCTGGTGGATGTGCCATCACATGGAGGGTGAATGCCATGTGTGAGGGTTCCCCGCTGCTCAACAGTTCCCTCACTCTTAAGGTGGAGAGGTCCCAACCTTGCACTACCCCCATGGCAAATGGTTCGTGCCAGAAACATTGCCATATGGCATCCAATTTTGCAGTTTAGTGATCAAACGTGTACATCAAATGTTTATCTGATATTTTGTTTTTGTGCTTTATGTGACGTGATGCCACGACAAAGTAATCATTTTCACAGTGCCCACTATCATTTACCGTATATTTCTTTTACGTATATTTTTGTTGGGCAACCTTCGTATACTGTACATTGTCCTAATGCGATGTACATTTCACTGTCGATGTAGCTCTTATGCTTTGCATGACGTGGACTACGGCAAAAAACTTCACAACTACGGTAACAGCCATATAGGATTTGAGATACGGTACATACATTGATAAATCAATGTGCCCCCCAAAAAATCTCACTCAATACCAGAGGCAAGACCATGTCCCACTCAATATCAATGTGCTTCGCTCTAACCTCCAGAGTATAATGGCCATGATATCGCGAACAAGACCAGGGCAAAGCTAAGCGGCTGGTTTACTTAAAGCCGAAATGCAAAATAGTGAACCCGTCTCCAGCTTGAAAGAGAGCTTGTCGAGCGAAACAATTTTCAAAACCAAACCGACAAGTTTGCACTGTTTCATTGAGAGCGTTTGAACAGATCGAACAAATCTGATTGGTTCCCGCCAAAACTGAAAAAAGGAACACAGCACGTCAGGCGTCGCATCTCTGTTTGGGGAGCCGCAGAGCAGAAGCACTGCGATCGTTTTGTCACGTCCCTGCGATTTTTTGCCCAGCTTCGCGTTCAAGTTGGGCATGGGTGAAGTACTACTACGTCTTCCATTCAGTTTTCCGTGCTTCTTAGTTTTTAGTTGCTTGTCTAGCCATATGGCCCCAACTTAGGCTGTTGTCACCGCAACTTAGGCGCGTAGTGATTATGTGTCATGATTGCGCAGTAATTGTGCCGTTTAGATTACCCTCTCGCCGCCTTCCTATCCCGCCTCACTCGTCCTCCCGACTCACTCGTCCTCGCGCCGTCCGTCCCGACGCCGTCCCGTCGCCCGAATTGTCGCCTCCATCGACGTCGCCCTCGCTATCTTCCGTCGCGGCCCTCCCCTCAGTTCGCGTCGCCACGCTATCTCTCCCCTCCCCTCCCATCGCCTTTCCTCTCCCGTCGCCTTTCCTCTCCCGTTGCCCTTCCACCGTCGCTTTCCTCTCCCTTCGCCTTTCCTCTCCCGTTGCCCTTCCTCTCCCGTCGCTTTCCTCTCCTGCCGCCCTTCCTTCTCTCCCGCCGCCCTTCCTTCTCTCCCGTTGCCCTTCCTCTCCCGTCGCTTTCCTCTCCCGCCGCCCTTCTTTCTCTCCCGCCGCCCTTCCTTCTCTTCCGTCGCCCTTCTCTCCCGTTGCCCTTCCTCTCTCCCGTCGCCCTTTCTTTCTCCCGTCTCCTATCCTCTCTCCCGTCACCCGTCTTCTCTCCCGTCGCCCCTCCCCTCCCGTCTTCCTCTCTTCCGTCGCCCTTCATCTCTCCCGTCCCATCATCCACCTCGGCGTCTTCGCGCTCGCCCCGAAATGCCTGCCCGTCGCCCCGTGATCGTCGGCCCCTCTCGCTTTTCCCTCGCAGCGTTACTCTCCCAGTCACATATGCCCTCGCTTTTTTCGTCGCTCCTCGCGGCACCCTCGTCACCGCCTTCCCATCACCCTCGTTGCTCTCTCTCTCCCCCCATCACCCTTTTTCTCTCGGTTCGTATCACCCCTCTTATCACCCTCACACTCTTCCCTCACATCGTCCGTCACCATCGCGTCACCCTTTCTCTCTCCCCTCACATCACCCTCCTTGTCGCCGTCGCCCTCGCCTCAAATCGCCCTTCCTCTCTCCCTTCGCATCACCCACGTTGTAGCCCTGTCGCCCCCCAAATCGTCCCGTCTCCCTCTCGTTCTCCCTCTCGTTCTTCCCGTCGCCCTAGATGCAGCCGTCGCAATTTCCTCTCCCACCCACCATCACCCACCTCATCGCCTTCCCGCTCGCCACAAAACGCCTTCCCGTCCCCCACCCACTTTCTCCTCCCATCGCCTGCCTCGTAGCCTTCGCGCTCGCACTCAACCCCCTCCCGTCGCCCTTCCTCTCTCCCTTCCCATCACCGACCTCGTCGCCCTCGTGCTCGCCCCGAAATGCCTTCCCATCGCCTTTCGTCTCTTCTCCCCAATCATTAGTCTCTGAAACACTCTCCAGATCGCCCATTGTATCCACCCGGTTCATCACCGACCTCGTCGCCTTCACTCTTGCTATGTAATGCCCTCTCTGCGCCCTTCCTCCCTCCCCTCACAATCTGTCTTTCCTCCCCGCCTCCCGTTCCTCTCTCCCCTTCCATCCTGTCGTTCCTCTCTACCCTCCCATCCCGTCGTTCCTCCTCTCTACCCTCCCATCCCGTCTTTTCTCTCTCCCCTCCCATCCCGTTGTTCCTCCTCTCTTCCCTCCTATCCCGTCGTTCTTCCTCCCTCCCCTCCCATCCTGTCGTTCCCCCTCTCTCCCCTTCTCTCCCGTCGGCCCCCTTGTCCCCAGTCCCTTCTCTTCGGCGTCGACCAATCAACCGTCTCGACACCCTTCCTCTTTTCGTACATCATTCATTTCTTTATTTCTATCTTCTTCGCCTGATTTCACCTGTGTGTGCCATGGATTTTGCTTGATCATGCCAGTGTTTGCGCAGAATTTTGCTAGTTTTTGCATGTGTGCGCACTGGATTTTGCATGTGTGTGCGCTGTTTTTTGCACATAGGAATTCTTGTGAAGTTACAACGGCTGCTCTGTTGAATGTGGGATTGCAGCCTTGCGCCAAATTCGTACAGGAATTTGGGTGAAAGTCGCCACCAATCAGATTTGTAAACAAGTACACAGATCAAGACTCGTATGGGATGAAAAAAAGTAAAAACGCACAGGCCGTCAACTTTTCAAACGTTCGTAACAAACTTGTGGTTTCAAGTGGACCCAACTAGAAGGGGGGGGTCACTATTTTAGCTGCTGGCTTTAAGTCTGTAAGCACTAACGTCAGCCAGCGGAGCTTAGCACAATACCCATGAGTGCAACTGACTGTCGTCCACCGAGAACAATCCCCATGCTTGGTGTACTAGCCCGTTAGCACAATACCCTCCTAGCAGCCGAATAGTGCTTAGGTCGGTGTCTCCCAGATACAACAAGGCGAGCAAGGATTGTGAGAGGATATGCTAGATATGGGCGAGCGCAGGTCATCGGGTACATAAGGCACCCCGCCAGCTTTGAGTTTTGACCACTCGGCTCAACTGGCTTGTCGAAGATAGGGGCCGCGAGCTTATGGTCAACAGGCAGAGGAGTTGGTTGTGCAGACAAGAACTGAAGGTCGAAGCGATGGAGGATCTGCTACACCATGTATGATTGATTCGGAGTGATGGTGTGCGTTGCTCTGTCTCTAGTGACCTATACACCAAAATAACAACACAGCTCATGTAGGTTAGTACAAATGTGTCTCCTTGTCAAACATATATGCTGCTTATTGTGTAGGCTGTAGTGGGGTAGCTCATAAGGGGTACAACCCAAATTAGGGTTTGCTACTTGTACCCATCCTGCTGCTAGTTCATTCATTCCTCTTCGTTATTCTGACATGGTTTCAGAGCAGGTCCTAGCCTAGGACGGATCTCTTAGGGCCCACCGAGTAGCGCTACCCCACCGACGCGCTAGTGTGATCACGTCGTAGAACTGCCCTGCCCTGCCCTGCGCCGCCCGCAGCAGCGCACACTGCTTTGCTAGCGCGCCCTGCTGAGTCGCGCGCCACCTGCTGCAGCGCGCCCTGCCCTGCCCGCGCGTCGCGCTGCCGCGCACGCCCTGCCTGAGCGCCGAGCTGCCGCGCGCCCTGCCCTGCCCGTGCGCTGCCCGCGTCGCGCGCCTTGCCCTGCCCGCGCACCGCACCGCCGAGCGCCCTGCCCTGCCCGCGAGCCGCGCCGCCGCGCGCTCTGCCCTGCGTGCGCGCCGCACCGCCACGCGCTCTGCCCTGCCCGCGCGCCGCGCCGCCGCGCGCCCTGTCCTGCCCGCGCGCCGCGCCGCCGTGCGCCCTGCCCTGCCCGCGCGTGGCGCCGCCGCGCGCCCTGCTCTGCCCGCGCGCCCTACCTGAGCGCCGTGCCCTGCCCTGCCGCGCGCCTTGCCCTGCCGCGCGCCCTGCCCTGCCGCGCGCCCTGCCCTGCCGCGCGCCCTGCCCTGCCGCGCGCCCTGCCCTGCCGAGCGCACCCTGCCCTACCGTGCGTCGCTCACTGCTGCACTGCTTCTAGCGCGCTCCCTGCTGCACTGCTGCTAGCGTGCTGCTCTGCTGCTAGCGCGCCCGACTGCTCTGCCTGCTATGGCCACTCTCAACGTTCTCACCTTCGATTCGGAGGGCCGCCCGATAGAGTTCAATGTATGGCTAGACGATTTACAGCTGTTCCTGCTGACAGACTCTAAGGACGGTACTTCGCTGTTTGACCTCACTTCTGGCGCCTCGCCCGCCCCTGACGCCACAGCTGACAGTGCGACCCGCTCACAGTGGCTTACCCGTGACGCTGCTGCTTGCCTAGCCGTTCGCAACCACCTGCCGTTAGCCGAACGCGCCCACTTTGGCCAGCATAAGACAGCAAAAGCACTGTACGACGCTGTAGACGCTCGTTACTCCTCCCTGGCCACTGCTGCTCTAGGCCGCCTTCTCCTGCCCTACCTGTTCCCAGAGCTGTCCGCCTTTGCCACAGTAGCCGACCTAGTCACTCACCTCCGCACTAGTGACACTCGCTACCGTGTTGCGCTCCCCGCCGAGTTTCTCACCAAGACCCCCCCCCCCATGTACATCACGCTCTACTTCATAGTCACCCGCCTCCCAGACTCTCTTACTGCAGACAGGGACCTCCTCCTAGCACTTGACCCCACCGACCTCACGGTCGACCTGCTCGAGAAGCACCTCCTAGCAGCTGAGACTAGCATAGTCGCTGTAGGCGCTTCTCGTGGCACTCCTCGCACCCCCTTCTTTGAGGGGTGTTCGCCCTCCCCCCCTTCTCCCCTCAGTCGCCTCTGCTGCAGATGTTGACTACCTTCGTGCTGAGGAGGTAGGAGCTGCGTCTGCCCCTAGTGGGAGGCGCCGCAGCGGCAGGGGCAGGGGAGGCAGGAGCGGTAGGGGTGGCAAAGGTGGAGGCGGTGATGGGGGCGGTGGAGGAGGTGGAGGGGGCGGCAGTGGAGGAGGTAGTGGTGGTGGGGGTGGAGGGGCAGGTGGCGGCGGCAGTGGGAGTGGTGGAGGCGGCGGTGGTGGCGGCACCGGGGGTGGAGGCGGCGGCAGTGGTGGCGGCCGGGGTGGTACCAGCCAGAGGGGAGGCCTTGGAGGTGGCCAGAGGCAGCAGCAGCGTCAGCCCCTTTCGTCTCAGGAGCTCCGTGAGTGGTTTGCTCAGCGTGGGGCGGCTGGGGGTAGTGGTCCCTGCCCGTATGTCATTCGCACAGGTGACCGCACTGGTCAGACATGCGGGAGGTCTCACACTCAGCACCGCTGCTTCTACCGCCTTACCGACGCCTTTCGCAAAGAGTTTCCTGATGCACCCGAGCTCCCCAACTGGGCGGAGCTGCTTAAGCAGAATGTTGATATCTTTGCTCTAGACTTTGATGCTATCCTCTCTGCCATGTATGCATTGAATGTTAGTGCTGAGGGTGACTGTTACCTGTGTATGCCGCCAGACCCAGGTATAGAGGCTGCTGCTGTAGGTGCTAGTGAGTCTGCTGCACTAGGTGCTGGTGAGTCTGCTCTCTCTGGTACTGCGTCTGCTGCGGCCCTGCACACCTTCACGCTTGATTCAGGTGCTTCCCGCTGTTTCTTTCACGACAGTACCACAGTCACACCGCTCTCTGCACCTGTTGCTGTCTCTTTGGCTGACCCCTCTGGGGCCCCAGTCCTTGCACATTCCTCCACTGTTCTGCCCTGTCCGGCGGTTCCGTCTGGGTCACTGTCAGGTCTCCACCTCCCCTCGTTCTCTACGAACTTGGTGAGCACTGCTGTCCTCCAGGATGCGGGGGTTGACACCTTCACCCCTGGACAGCAGCATGTGGCGATCTGTACGTGCTCCCGGACCGGTCGCCACCTGGCCACGTTCACCCGTCAGCCTGGGTCGAGTCTGTACACACTGACTACTGCACCTCCTCAGCTAGCTGCGTCTGCGTCTGCGTCAGGTCAGCTTGCTGCCCCCTGCTCGTGTCGTGCCCTGTCGCACCAGACTCTCCTTTGGCACCACCGTCTTGGTCACCCCTCTGTGGCACGCCTCCGTGGCATGCACTCCCGTCTCCTTGTCTCTGGTCTTCCCAGGACTCTGCCTCCCCTCCCACCCTCGCCTGCCCCTCCCTGCCTTCCCTGTGTCGAGGGGCGGCAGCGCGCCGCTCCTCACTCCTCCTCGTTCCCCCCGACAGAGGCTCCCCTGCAGACTCTCCACCTGGACGTGTGGGGCCCAGCCCGCGTCCGTGGACAGGGCCACGAGCGGTACTTTCTGCTGGTTGTCGACGACTACTCGCGTTACACCACGGTCTTCCCCTTGCGCCGCAAGGGGGAGGTCCCTGATGTTCTGATCCCTTGGATACGCGCTGTTCGTCTCAAGCTCCGCGAGCGGTTCGAGACGGACCTTCCAGTCCTGCATCTGCACTCTTGCGTTGTCCAGACAGAGGTGGTGAGTTTTCCTCCGACCTCTTGCGGGCCTTCTGTCGTGCGGAGGGCATTCGCCAGACGTTCACGCTTCCGGCCTCTCCGCAGCAAAATGGGGTTGCTGAGCGCCGCATTGGCTTAGTCATAGAGGTCGCTCGTACCTCCATGATCCATGCGGCTGCCCCCCATTTTCTGTGGCCGTTTGCAGTCCAGTACGCTGCGCATCAGCTCAACCTCTGGCCCCGTGTCTCCTTGTCGGAGACCTCGCCCACACTGTGTTGGACGGGGGAGGTTGGCGATGCGTCGGTGTTCCGGGTCTGGGGATGTCGAGCCTTTGTCTGCGATACGACCGCGGACAAGCTCTCCTCCCTCGCCGTTCCCTGTGTCTTCCTTGGCTTTGTCCCTGACGCACCTGGCTGGCAGTTTTACCACCCCAACTCACGCCGTGTCCAGCCCTCTCAGGACGTCACGTTTGACGAGTCGGTTCCCTTTTACCGTCTCTTCCCCTACCGCACTGCCCCTCCCCCTCCCCCGCCGCTCTTCCTCGCACCAAGTCCTCCTCCGGTTGACCCCCTTCCCCCTCAGGGTCCTGCTTCCTCAGGTGTGTCCCAGGTAGACCCTGTCGAGCCTGTCGAAGTCGCTGTCGACTCTGGTGCTGCTAGAGGTGTTGCGTCTGGGGGTGCTGAGCCTGCGGGTGCGGGGCCTGGGGGTGCTGAGCTTGAGCGTGCGGAGCATGGGGGTGCGGAGCTTGGGGTTGCTGAGTCTGAGGGTGCGGAGCCTGGGGATGCTGAGCAATGTGCCTTGTGTCGCGAGCAGAGACTGGAGCACCGAACGAAGCACTTTGCTCTCCGCTACTTCCTTGCGCGCGAGCTGCAGCAGCGTGGTCAGCTGCGCCTTGCTCTCGTGGCCTCTCGGGCCAACACTGCTGATGTTTTCACCAAGGCCCTTGGGTCTGGTGATCATCACCGTTTCTGCACTGCTCTTGGGCTTGTGCCCACTCTGCCTCACCTGCTGGTTGTTTGACTTGCTCTTGTTGTACACTGATATATATCTTTATACCTGCTTGTTTACTCTTGCTAGGTTGTGATCAGTGTACTGCCTTGCTGTTATAACTCTGCATGTGAACTGGCCTTGTGGCCACTTGCTTGTGCTCAGATTGTGTGGTGTCCTTGAGATCCACCCTGAGCTTTGCTTGTTCTCTTGCTTGACTGGTCTTGTGACAGTCTGTTGTGTTTGCTATCTCCCACTTAGCCTATAGGGGTGTGTCAAACTGTATGTTTGTGTTCTTTCTAGGCTATAGTGAGTTAGCCTACAAGGGGTACAACACTTCAGGGTTAGGTACTTGTACTCATGCATGCTACCTAGTCCACCATTCCTGCCTGCTTATTCTAACAGAAACTTGAAACCATTGATCTTAGATGTCCAGGAAGCGGAAGAACCAAAGTCCGCCAATGTGACACTAAAATTATATCTACGTGTTCCTTGTTGACAGGCGATCAAAATGGTTAATGGATCACTGCTTGTAACGAGGTGGAACATGGACATTGCAAATCTCGAAGTTGCAGAAATCCATGGCGGCCTTGGTATTGTCATTGTCATTGAGCTTCCTCTGAAGGAGAGTCATTGTTATCTACAATGGAATGTACACATTTGGTAAGCTATAAAGCATAGCTCAAATAATGAAAACCAGTTTGGCATATCATCTGGTTGCGCTAGAAACAGCCCCTTCCAGCGGGGAGGAGTAGAGGCGGCTTCTGTTTCAACTATGCAAAAACGACGCGATCTTGAATACTGTGCGGGACGACCAGCGCACAGTGCGTACCACACTCATGTGAAGTTTGTTTCCTTCCGCACCCCAGCTGTCAATGTCGCTGTCTTCACGCGAAACGAACTTGAAGTGCGATTGGTGCTCGTCACCCCCCACTTCCGCTTCAGCCAATTCCGTCCACCCTGATCGCCACGTGCAGCAACAGACTGAGCCAAATGGATGGACAACGAAATGCCGCGGAGGCGGGCGTGCAGCGTGCGCGAGTGGTGGCAGTGAGTGTGAAAAGGGGGCGGGAGGGGGGAAGGAGGAAAGGAAAAGGGAGGGTGGGGAGGGGAGGAGAGAGGGGAGGGGAGGGGGAGAGGAGCATAACAGTAGTGTGGACACGGAATCTTTGATATTTCTGAATGGGAGAGTCAAATTTCGATAGCTCGTGGTCCATTTGGTCCGAACACATTTCAGGGGTACGAAGACCATGCATGCGGATGTTTTGAGGCAAATACCAGAAGCCTTTGGGGGAAAGGTGACAGGAACACTGACTTTTCATCAGCGACTTCTCAACAATCATTAATTTAAAAGCGTAAAAGCACCTCGGGAAGACAGAAAAATGCTTCCAGCGAATACTTCTCAGAAATGCCCTGAAGGAACCGTTCCGTGTGCTGTGGGAGTTTTAGTGTACCCGCTATTGCGGATGAAGGCATGTACAAAGTGCTGCAAAAAACTCGACGTCGAGGAACGTCGGTGAATCCTGACGGTTGGAACTTTGATCCGAGGGTGGAAATTCACCGACGTTCCTCGACGTCGAGTTTTTGCAGCACTTTGAACACGCCTTCATCCGCTGATGCACTGAAGAATGAATCATTGGCATAGCCCTCCTCCTGGGCTTGAGTTGGGCTGTGCAGGGCAAAGTTCTCTTCCCTTCCCACCCACCTACACACCGACACCATCCTCGCAAAGCCGGCAAGCCAGGCTTCCTAGAAGGAGTTTGGGAAGGGACCATTTTGTTGGTTTCATCCAGATCCGCCACTGCTCCGAGGTTGCCCAGTCAAGGTTTCAAGTCTTTCCGAGCACCTAACAACCACTGCAGGTGAACAGATGGATGGGTTCAGTCAGCAGCTCAAAATCATGGGAGTCGAGGCGAGTAGCAAGCGGCTCACTGAAGATTGCTACTTGCACGTCGCTGGTACGACGCAATCTAGAACACACGGATGCGCAGTACACCAACTCGCTAGGTGTGAATGCTTCCCTAGCGTCCACATATCTTGCATACTCCTTATTCGAAAATCCTGCTCTCGATCTCGCTTCCTTCCTCCCCGCTCCCCGCTCGCTCCTCGCGAACGAGCTCCGCCGCCGTTTGTAGGCTGTGTCACGGTCCCTCCCTCACGCTCCTATTCCTCGCGCATTCCTATGAGCTCTTCTGAACATATCCTGGAATAAGCCTGCACGCGAAGGTGAGAACGCTTGAAGTGGGCGCACACAAGGAAGGGGAATCATTGACATGTGGCAAGAAAATGACAGATATGACAAACCGTGTGAGATCGCACTACTCGTCAGAAGGGAGTAGCGGAGGACTTAGTGAATCAAGCTGTTGGGACCAAGAGAAACGCACAGGATGGACGGAAGGAGAGAAGGGAGGGTGCAGGTGAAGGTAGCGGAAAGAAAGCGAGGGCAGGCGAGGGGTTTGTCGTGATAAACGAACGCGGAAAGAGTATTAGGAGTACTTTCTGAAAGAGGAAACGAGAACCCTATTCATGCCTCCGTTGCTGCGTGTTTCTAGAAGTATCAGCTGCTCTCGCCTTTTCCTTCTCCATCCTCGGCTCAACCTCCTCCCTGCCAGCGTGCTGCTGGCGAGTGCCGCCGCAGATCGCCGCGGTGGGTGGTAAAAGGGAGAGCGAGGGGCGCACTCAATCACGTACTACACCTTACCCCTTCCCCGGCTTCGACCAAAATATTGCTCCTCACTCGCTCCCGCTTCTGTCAGGGCTATAAATGGATTGTACACAAATCTAAGGTTACCACTTCACCTACAGTTCTGTATGAGAGCCAAGGGTAGCTTTTTTGCTGTCAAGACGA